TTTAAATGGTTATGATCTTGGTAAGTGGCACATTAAAGATTTAAAGCCTTTTGTGTCAGATGAGGACAATATGTCATCTTTAAGTTATTAGTTCATCCTATCCCATGTCAATATTTTTGAGTTTGTATGTTGATTTGATTTCATCCCTTTGGAATATTGTTTTGCTTTTGATAATTTTAGTTCAGGTAATCTATTTTGATTGAGAGACACATGTGAGAATCACATTTTGTCATATGTAGGTATATAGACTTAGGGTCTATATCCTAATTTTTTTGTAGAACCGTTGCCGAATTCCCTGTCTCGCTAGGCGTATAGTGGAGATAGTAGACGCCTACCTGTTAAGTGTAGAGCAATTTTTTTTGGATTTGTGTATAGCACCTGATTTAGGCAACGAGGTGTCATGGCTATGCCTGCCCGTCAAATCACTTGTGTTACTGCTGTGAATGTCAGCGAGGTTCACTGCAGGGCATAAGGTTAGCTTCCCCCAAGGCATAGAAACTCATGTCACCTACAGTTCAAGTAGAGTCAAAAATTTCAGTCTACTCGACTTTAAAGAGTCTGGCGATCGATGGCACGCTAGCCCATTCTTTGTAACTAACTTTGTTTTTGTTGTTTAATCCCATGCTAGCCATCATCTAAAAGATATTATTAAGAAGTTTCGACTCAGTTAAGAGGTCATCTTCTGATTTGGTTTTTGTTGTTTTGCCTTTATCAAAAACTGGATAAGAATTATCCGAGTTTTTTCTTTTAAGAAGGGGCATTGTAGCGTTTTTTTTTTATTTAAAGTGTATAGAAAATATTTCTATGGTACGTCCCTGTTGTTTCTACCAAGAAATCGATTAATAAAGTTAAATGTAGGTACGTTGTAAATATTTCAAGTTTTTTTGACGAGATTTTTAAATGCGTATATTTCTACCGATTCAAAAGTAAATATAGATGTTTTTTTGTCTGTGTTTAGATTCAAATATCGAACCTTTTGTTATAAGCCAGGTAAAACTCAAGTTTAAAATACGCACGTATTTTGTTAATTTGTATTATGTAAATTTATGATGCCCCCTGATAAAAAAAAGGTTTTATTTGTTTTCTTCGTTAAAAACGCAATAAACCATGAATTCCCCTAATATTAAAGTTGTTTTTTGTTATTAGTCGAGGGTCAAAAAAAAAAAAGAATATTTGTTTGTTTAGGCAATAAAGGAACATTTAAAAGTTGTTTTTTTGTCGATACGAGCGAGGGGATATTGTTTTGGGTTCTTGAGTTGGTGGGGACAGGTTAGCTGCAAGACGGAAGGGAAATTTTTGGCTAGTTTCTTGTAAAATGTAACTAAGAGGAGTCGAGATTTAGATTCCAAGCGGGGCAGACATGTGGGAATGGAGTAAAAGATTTGAGAGGAAGTGATGAAGAACTTCTCGAAGAAAAAAGTCGTTTAATTGTGATGTTGTAAGCCGGCATTCATTCGCCAAAATGGTGGAATTTTCACTCTAAGTAATATGTCGTTTCTGAAAGAGTGACCAGTAACCACTGTTTTTATTTTGGCTGAAGATTTATGATGTTTGAGCAGTGAACAAGTTTAGTTCCTGTTTGTTTTTCGTTTTTTTTTGAGAGATCCAGTTCCTTCCCGAGATGCCCTTTTCACCTCATGTAGAATAATATTGGAGCAGTTTTGATTTGGATGTGCCAGCTTCAGCTTCCAATAAAGCTTTCCGTTGATGTGCAGTTAGATACCCCACAGAAATTAGCCAGTTGTTCAAAAGTTTAAGTTAACATGAACTGAGGTAACATTTACGTTTTTAATTTTTAAAATAAAAATAGACATTTTCTTTTAAAAAGATAAAATTTGCTTTCTTTTATAAATTATTTTTTAAATTATTTACTAAGAACCGTTTCGAAGAGTTTTGTAACCTTTTGTAAACAGATATGTAAGTTTTTTTCATTTGTATTTGACAGCTAATTTTATTTAATATGCCTTTGTATAAGCTGTATTTTTGAAAACTGTTTGGTGAGACAAAAATAAATGTTTAATTTGTTTCTCTGATCTATTTTGAGTTTTATTTGAAAAAGATATTTTTTTTTCTATATTTTTTATGTTATACAATTATTTCCCTAGTTACAACTAGTGGTTGTAATAGGTATAATTGGGCACCTCAGGTGGCGCCCTATATTAAATTTCTTGAGGTGTTTCCGTTTATTTTCATTCTGTTTGTCCCAAGAGATTTGTATAAGTACCCCTTTATTTCTTTTCTTGTAGTTGCCCCAATCTAACCCCCAATATCTTCAACTTATCCACGACCCAGCTCTCCAACAACCAACTGAGTGTCGTACGCACTAATTTCGATTATTTTGTTTGCCCAATCTTGTCCCCCATATTCTTACCCTGTGGTAAGCAAAATAGTCGTTACACATACAGTAAGTATATGATAAAAACCAAAGTCACGATGCCGTTATAAAATTAAGTTATTTTAATGCTAAGCTGGGAAAAGAAGAAACTTTTGTAAATATACTTGGGAAACATAGCCTGCATACTGAAAAGTCAAATGATACTATAGTCAAAATGGACTTCGGGTTGCATAATTCGTAGCAGCAAATAATTATGTAGTTGTCAGTACTAACTTCGGAGAAATGATATCAATAAAGGAATGAAAAAGATATCAAAAGGAAAACACCAGGAACCAACGAAGCCAACTGACGACATCCTCATCTCAAAAAGATACACCAAACATAACTAGTGTTAAAACGTATCGCGGGGCGTACTCTGACTCAGATCACTATCTTGTGGAGAAAAATGGCGGCAAAAAATCGCGACAGTGGCAAAAGGGACAAATAATCGAATTAAAAAATGGAATGTTAAAGGATTCAAAAACCCAAACAGCAGAGTAGGAATGGAGATAATTAAAAACACTAATAACGGAATCTGCAAAACAAACTGTTAGAAAAGCCTAGAGATAAAAACTGAGGAATGGTATGATGATGACAGCAGAACTGCAGTAGACGAAAAAGGTAAGTTCAACTTGCCTTGCCAATCAACTTCAGATAAACACCAGGAATAGCAGAGAAATTTATAACGAGAAGAGAATGAAAGCGACTAACATATGCAGAAGAAAAAACTTAAAGGATTACAAAAAACGAGTATAAGAAATCCTAAAACATAACAACAGACACGGAAGCACAAAATTCTATAAAAGAAAGCACACAGTCATTTAGACCAAAATTAACGATATTCAAATACAAGGACGGAGAACAACTAACAGAGAAGCAAAAGGAGAGAAGCAAAAAAAGCTATAAGGAGGTGGAACTTTCTGGAACTGGAGGAGATACTTTCAAGGAAACCTAAACTAAATGGACAGTTTGCCTTATATAGCCAATATATAAAAATGAGATAAGAGGGAATGCCAGAATTATAATAGATTGTTAGAATACTCCGATATAAATATAATTGGTGATTATCAAAATGGATTCAGACCAAATACAGTTAATACAGACAATATATTCATATTAAGAACGATTCAATAAAAAGCTTATGAATAGGACATCGAATTATATAACACATATGGACATAGACTTTCAAAAAGATTTTGATAGTGTGAAAGAAACAAAATGATGGAAGACATTCGTAATCTAGGTATATTTAAAAGCCGCAGTTAACTTAGATGGAAAAATATTAGAAAAACAATATAACCGGCCAAATAAATACAAAATCCGTACAAATTACTGCTTATGTAGATGATGTAGCGACCATTAGTAGGAGCAAGCCACGGCTAATGAAAGCGTTCAAGGAAATTGATCTGGAGGCACGAATAAGTGGGTTTAAAATAAACTAAAAAAATGTAACATGACCGTCAAAAGAACACCTAATCATGAAAATATTATCCCAGTAGACAACTATACAATAGAACATGCGGATGCCTTCACATATCTGGTCACAGAAATCATTAAAAACACAGAAAACACACAAAAATAGATCACTTGAGAAAGGCAATCAGCCGAAACAGCTGTAGTGATAAGATTTAAAATAAATTTTGTGGAAGTTTGAAAACAAAGTTTTCAGTGTTTTATTGTTACATAAAATGAATTTCCATCAAGTAACGGTCGAATCCATCAACTATTTCACAGAAATCAATCAAAAGAATTCCGTAGGTAAATTAATGCACGTATTTGCAGTGGGAATCGTACATACTAGGCTAATAAAAGATTGATGGCATCTAAATTATTAGACAGAAGAACCAAAATGACTATCTACAGGGCATTAATTAGAGCTGTAGTACCTTATGATTATGAGATCCAGGTAATGACAAACAAAGATAAAGCGCAACTCAATACATTAGAGAAAAAGATACCGAGAAAAATATACGGTTCGGTGCAAGAGGAAGGCGACACATGAAGAATTAGGAGAAACGACGAGATTAATGAATTGAATTAAGGACACGATATTGTAAGGTTTATTGAAAGTCAAGAGACTGTCATGGCTGTGACATGTCTAGAGATAGGAAGACACAAAATCAACAAAAAAATATTACAATGGAAACCGATAGGAAGAAAAAAAAAGAAGACTCAGAACGAGATATTTGGATGACGTAGAAGACGACCGGAAAACTATGAATGTAAGAAAATGGATCAGAAGGACACAAGACAGATCTGAATGGAAGGTCATAGCCAGACAGGCAAAGACTCCAGTCCAAAGTAATGATGCCAAAGTAAGAAGAAGAGTCCACATCAGGATATGGTTAGGTATTTCCTCCTCCGTCATTATCTGCACATGCCATACCAACCCAGTTGTTTAGTTTGAACTTATATTATTATTAGTTATGCTACGAAAGATTTCGAATTGAAATTAACGGTATTCGACCTGAAACTCTTGTGCAGAAAACTGTTTAACCACTTCTCATCTGTTTAATACGAAGCAAAATAACTTTAACATAATAATTTTTTTCTTAATTTTGTCATTGAATATCAGTTTGAAAAACTAGTAGCCCTAAAGCACAGTTATTATTTTATTTATACTTACATGATAGTTAAAAATGGTACTAAGAATTGAGCTATCTTGAGAAAATTGTTGAATATCTTGATTCCAGAGATTCGCTGGTGATAGTACAAGACAATTGTATTGGGGTAGAATGTTTGATCTATCGTTTGTTCTTTTAATTGCTTCAATATGAAGACATACATGACCCAAATTTTTTAAACTAAAAAGAAAAATAAATTGTTTTTATACCTTCTTTGGAGAATAATAGCGCATAATTTGGTTTCAGTGGATTAAATCTTAAATAAAGTTAATATCTTTCCTAACTTTGTGGTATTATAAAGTAAAACTAACTATAGAGTAAAACTATATTATAAGGTAAAACGAAGTAAATTGACAATCGGTATAACAATCAGAATATTTTTGAGGAAAATTATAATTAAATAATATAAACTACAATAAGTTATTAAAGAAATCTAAATACATAGATTTAACATTCATTTAAAAAAAGTTAAATTTTATCAACGAAATATATTACTTATATCTGTGTAAATATTTGATTTATTGAAAATTAATCAATAATATGGCTTATTTGTCGGCAATGTAAAAAAAACAAAAACAGAATCTTAATATTAATGTAGATATTCAAAATGCCAGAACAAAACGCAAATGTCTTGGAACATCCTCATCTTAAATACAAGTTGTAATCGCAATTTTTATTCGTCTCCTTAGCAAGTCGATGGGTTTAGTTTTCTACACGATACTTGTGACATATCCCTATAAGAAGAAATCTAGTAATTTCAGATCAGGAGATCATGCTGGCCATTCCATCGATCCTCGCCTCCATATTCACTGATTTGGAAATATAAGAATTAAGGTACTACCGGACATTTATTTGGTAATGAGAAGGGATTCCATCCTTAAACTATATCGGATTAGCTAGAATTTATGTCTACTTGTTTATTGACAATAATAACACTACAATATTGTTCTTCAAAACTCACATTATTTGTAAAGGCGTGTTTTCTAGTCTTGATCCTGTCAATTTTTATAATATTTCTATTTATCAAACTACTATATTTGTCTCAAAATGGAACCTAGCCTTGAGACCAAGTTGATGCGATATAATTGTTGACGAAATTAGAAGTAATCTGCATGCATAGGAATTAATGTGTAATGGAAGACATTCAAAACGGCCGATATCACGAAAATACCCAAGGGAACTTTTGCAAAAATTTCAAAAAAAAAGGGAAACGTTTATGACGACAAGCGAAGGGGACGGCCAGATATTAAGTACACAAAAAACACCAATTAAAAGTGTAAGATACACCAGAGTGAATCATAGCCTTACATTTTTCTTGAAAACCGTAAGCTCAGTTCCCCGAAAAAGTAACACAGGAATAACGCTTGTTCCCATAACGCTTGTACAGGAATTCTGTGAGATTTCATTGTTTGATATTTATTTTTTAATTTAGAAATGTTGAAGAATGTCTTTAACCCTTAATCCTTGAAATACTTGAAGATCACATTGACTAATTCCGTGATTTCTAGATAGCTTTCCAGTAGTATAGTGATCCTAACCAGTATTATGCATGACTAAGATGGTATGTAAACGGGCAAAATCTTGATAGATAGAAATGACATGTCTAGATTTCTTTTTGCGAAGTTACATTAAATCAAAAGTTCTTAAATAATGCGACTAGATTTTCGCAGAGACATTTGGACGCGATCTGGAACAGTTTCCTGCTAAAATGTTTTTTGTATAAAATTTAGCAGTATATTATATCTACCTTTTTTGGTCTTGATAATTCCTAACAACATCTAATAATTTAAAAGCCTCATAAATAGGTGCCCGAAAAGCATCCCCTAACGTAAGGTCAGCTTTCCACGGCAATACTGCAACCCTTAGCACTATCTGTTGAACGTAACAAAAGGGTTGTTGAACTCCTTCTGTGTTGTTGAAGTTCGCGGTCCATACTTGTGGAGCTTTCCCAGGAAATGAAACATTTACCAGGGGTAGCCTGAAATAAAAAGAATATTATAAACAGATGATATTTAATTTAAACGAAATATTGAAATGAAACACAAATACCGAGATATGCGAAAATAAAAAAAATTTTTGGAAATTTATCGATTTCTCCAGGAAGCTTATATTTATTTAAATTATTGACAGTTTTTCTATCATTTTCCAATGAAAGTTCCTTTACATTTAAAATTTTATTAAATAATAATAATTGTTGTAAAGCAACAGTTATATTAATATTACTTGATTTTTAGTTTTTATAAATTGGTTTGAATCTTATGTGGCAGACTGTACCTGTGGCCAATATTCGTAAACGTACTGTTTTTAAAAACAACTTATCTGATGTCAGGTTGTCGGCCGATCCCTCAGATAAGAGTTGCGTCTGGCCAAAATTAATCGCAGACGAGTAGTGTGGCCTCAAGTTGCTAGCCGAATGTGGGGTACGCTCTCTCTTCGTTTCAAAAAAGCAGTGAACAGTGCATCAGTTTTCGCTATATTCGAGCGCCATTCAAACACCAGTATAAATAGTGAACGATGTTGCATAGCAAACTCTTTTATTCGTAATAGTTGTACGCTCTCTCTTCGTCTCAAAAATGCAGTGAACAGTGCATCAGTTTGTCGCTATATTCGCGAGCCATTCAAACACCGGTATAGATAATGAGCAATGTTGTAAAGAAAATTCTTTTACTCGTAATAGTTGTTGTGTAAATATTCTCTTGTTATTAAATATGTAGTATCGATTACTCTTTATTTTACTTTAAGTACAACCTGATAAAACGAAACACATACGGAATCACCACCGCGCCGTGAAGTCTGCTTACTTATATCGAAGGAATATCTTTTAACCATATTTGGTACTACTAGTATATTTTGGTACAAAAAGTTCTGTTTTGGCGGCAAGAATTGTGGCGGTGTTAGACGATGGCGACGGTCAGCGCGAAACTGCTAGAATCGTTGGTGTAAGTCTCTCGAGTCTGCAACGAGTATGACAACGGTACGAAGAGACCGATCTGCTTTTTCGAAGACATAGTTCAGGTCGAGACAGAATTAAAAGAGTTAGAGATAACGGCTTGGTCGTTTCTAGTGCTTTGAGAAACAGACTAGTCACGGTAGTTTCCCTTCGAAATCATCTGCAAGAAGCGAGAAATGTAAACGTAAGTAAATGGACAGTTAGGAGGCGACTTCATGCTGCTGGTTTATATTATCGAACTAGAGAAACTGGACCACCGCTTTCCCATGAACACCTAATTGCTAGATTGACTTTTGCACGAGAACACTTGGTTGGACAATACAGGATTGTAGTAGTGTATTACGGGCTTGGAAAATTGTGTAAGAGTGTGTCGACTTTCAGGCGAGAGATGTGCTGAAGCATTTGCTGTCCAGAGACTTCCATTTGGTGGATGGTTAGTTATAGCATGGAGGGGCATATCGTTTGCCGCTCGCACGGAGTTGGTCCTTATTGGGAATGGGACATTTACTGACCTGTGTCAGGTACCTGACACAGGTTCTAGAAGACCATGTTATACCGTTTATGGTTATTCTTGGAGACAACGCAACATGGATGCACAATAATGTACATCCCCCCACTGCTCGGATAGTTATTGAGTATCTTGACGAGGTTCAAATCACACGATTTGTTTGGCCTGCCCGCAGTCCAAACATTAATCCTATACATATTTGGGATGAGATGAAAAGACGTTTACGGAGTTATGGTACCAGCCCCCAGAAATTTCAGGAATGTGCAGCAATGGAACAATCTTCCGTAGAATGTGATCCAAAATATATTCCAAGTATTCCTGGCCATTTGCAAGCTGTTATCGCTGCCAGAGAAGGGAATAATCGCTACTCTTTACTTTTCAATATTTAGTATATAAAAGGAAAATTTTTCATTTTCATTACTTTCAATAAATTTTGAAGGATACAAAGGACATATATTGTTTTCTTTAAGCAATCCGTTAGTTAACTATGTTCCAACCGAAAATAGTTAAAAAAAAAATAATTTTTAAAATAAATTCAAATGATGGGTCGACCCTAATTTTATGCTCGGTAGTGTATATTATAATAATAAAATTTATTAACCTGCCCACAGCGTGATAAAAAAAATTAATTCGGTCCACTGACGAAAAAAAAGTTGCCCTCCATATTGTTCATTATGCAATACATAAACTTTTTACATTTGTTTCAAAACCCATTGATAATTATTATTAGTGACTGAAAAATTATTTAAACCGGTAATTCTCGTAAGATTACATTTATTTTCAATGCGATGAATGCCTACCGGCAATGGTTGGCTGCTCAACTGACTAAATTTATCATAAAAAAAGTAACCTTGAAAACTGATATATTTGGTGGAAACAAATTTAGAGGTTTGTATTAATGACAAGAGTAATCTTAGTTTGTAAATAAACCGGAATATAAAAACTTATTTATAAAAACAAATGTACAAGTGATCCTAGGTTAAGTTCAAGTAATTTGTTATTGAACTGCAGTAGATGAATCATAGAAATCAACTGTAATTTATAAAAATATATAATCATGTATAAATGACCAATCATAATTTTAATGTGGTATGAAATGTTTTAAACTAAATAAATAAACTTCAACAATACGAAGATGCAGTTCGGGAAGTTTCATATTTAAAGCTTATTTATTAAATAAATATTTGTGTTTAAAATTACAACAAAATTGTTATATATTTATTACTCAGAGGATGATACAGAAGTTCACTCCAAGCTTGAAATAAATGCAATCGAAAGTGACCAATAATAATGAAGTAGGTTCTACAGAACCTAAAAATACAACAATACTAGCAGAGATAACCAAAACTGGCAGAAAGAAAGATCCAGAAATACAAAGTGCAAATGGAACCGGCAATGATCACCATAAAAAAGGAACAACTAATACCAGAGATAGAAAAAATTGATAGAAAATGGCGTAAAAAGATGTACAGATTAATATACCTGAATACCTTTATCATTTAGGAAGCGTAGAGTATAAATTTACTGTTTGCCAAACAGCAACTGAGATATTTTTATCATTATTGCACCCTCTATTAAATAATACAGCATTTCAAAGCAAGTTATGTGCAACTCAAAACGGAAATATATTGAACCTGGAGAAGAATAAATTTTAACTTTAATTGGTATTAATATTCTAATGGGCTTCTATAAATTCTAAACCGCTCCAGTTTTAGAAGATCCTATGATAGGTATCACATGCAGTATCTTGAAATTTATTTAACATTATACTTAGCAATATTCATATAAATGATAATAACAAAATTCCCATGGAAATACTGAATTGAAACGAATGGTCAATACTCTGAACGACATGTTTCTACGGTAATACTTACAAGGGAATAAGAGATACCAAGATAGCAGAGAACTATCGACAAATATTAAAAATAAAGTGGGTTGACCCAGTTACAAATGAAGAAATATTACGGCGAATGGACAAAAGGCCTGAAATAATACCTACCAAAAAAAAAAGAGAGAATTGGAATACTTACTGTTTTAAGACGAAGGAATCCGGCCCGCAGAAAAATGTACTAGATGAGAAATCTCTAAGAGAATGGTTTGGTTGCACCACAAACAAACTGTTTTTAATAGCTTTAAACAAAGTTCGAATAGCATTGATAATATCCAATCACTGATATGAGAGGAACGGAAAAAAGATCTTAAAAAAAGCATATGATAGAGTTTGTTGTGAGATTGTGTGGTGGACGCTTAATAAAAAATGAGTTTTCGGTGAATATGTAAAGATTGTGAGATACATGTATGATGGAGCGACAGTTGTGGCAGATAAATTTCATGTGAAAGTAGGATTATAGCAAGGCTCCGTGCTTAGACTTAATTATTCTCATTAGTGTTGGATCAGATAAAAGCGTAACTAAAGGGTAACATTGCCTGATAGTTATTGTATGCTGCTGATGTAGGGTTAGTACATTCGCTGAAAGCGATTTAGAACAAAAAATGGAACAGTGGAGACAAGCTTTTGGGAAAAATAATTTAAAACTTAGTAGGACAAAAACAAAGTATTTGGAATATTCATTTACAGATCGAGTTACTATAAATGAAATAATACTTAACTTTCTCGAAATATTACTTATTACAAATCGATGTATATTACTTATTACAACAATACATTATGAAACTTACTTATTATATCGGGCTGCTGATAACTCCCTCAATTCAAATATTAATTCCGAAATTTGTCTAATAAATAAAAGGCCGAATATTCACTGTGCCCACACTAATTATACTTAAAGTTGATCACAATCTGATAGAGGCCTACCATTAGACAAACAATACAAATTTGAAGATCAGGGTAATTAAAAGTAGCTTAATATATCAATTTAGAAACCAATTTTATAATGTATTTTGTACGCATACAAGTTAATAAACAATAGTAAAATATATATAAACTTGAAGATCGAAGTATCTAAAAACCATATAAGTACAAGTAAAAAAAAACAATAGTAATAATAAATGAGAGAAGAAAAAGAAGGAAATTAATACTATAGTCCCGGATATGACTCGAGGAAAAAAGTTTATCATAAAAACACGGTAGTCGCCAGAATAGTGAATTTTAAGACAAAAATGTTTTAAAGTTTTTTCGAAAAGTCAATATTTTGGAAGTTATTCGTGACTGAGGGTTCACAAATTACACGTCAAAAAGTACGTTTTTAAACAATTTTTCTCGATTAACTCCTTTCGTGAATATTTTAACTTTATCGGGAAAACTGTTTGGATATCAAATAAAGCTTATAAAACAAAAGGATCTGTTTTTTATCGTAAACATAATATTAACAAACTTATAGCTGTTAAAAACTAAAAGTTTTTCGTGGAAAACTTTCATAATTTTCACTAGTTTTTCATAACTTTCACTATTATATATATATATATATATATATATATATATATATATATATATATATATATATATATATATACAAAACAACACAGTTTGTTGCAGTCAGAATATTGGCCGGGATGTTAAATAAAAAACACTCTTTTGACTTTTTGTCGAGCTTTCGGAATGATTTTATTCCTTTTTCAAGACACTGTAAAAGACAATTATGTAAATATTTAAAAAATATCACAATTCTTCAGTGTAACTTACTA